TTTTTTTTTTTTTTTTTTTTTTTTTTTTTTTTTTTTTTTTTTTTTTGAGACAGGGTCTCACTGTAGTTTTGGCAGACATTGAACTCACTGTGTGACCTGGATTGGCCTTGAATTCACAGCAGTCCCCCTGCCTCAGGTTCCCAGAATGCTGAGATTATAGGCATGTGTCACCATGCCTGAATGCACACACAATTTTTATATGCTGAGTTCTATATTAAAAATGCATTATTTGGGGCTGGAGATTTAGCTCAGTGGTTGTGCCTCCTGCCTCAAAAATGCATTATTTGTTGTTATGCAGATAATAGATATGTGATTTGGAGAGAAGAGGGTAATTTGTTTTTTCTTTTTTTTGGTACCAGGGATCAAACTTGGGACCTTGTGTTTGCAAGGCAAGCTGTAGAACCACTGAGCTAAATCCCTGGACTTCTTTCCTCCCCTTTCCTCTTTCCCCTTTCCTTTTAAGCAGGGTCTAACTATGTAGCCCAGGCTGGCCTTGAATTCACACAATCCTCCTGCCTCAGCTTCCTGAATGCTAGGATTACAGGCATGTCCCACCATGCCTGCAAGTGCATTTATTTATCACTGTGGCATGCACATTTGAAAAACCCGATCTTCTTAAATGTTACAAGTAACTTTACCAACACATTAAATTTATTTCAGAAAGTGTATATTTATTCAGCTTATTTACTAAATCTGTTTCTGATAGATATTGCTATTTATTTTTGCTTTTAAGGCCCGTTTCCTGCTTTCCAAAGTCAACCCTTCACAGACTCATAATAATATGTATGCCTGGGGGCAGGTAAGTGTAAATAACAGTCTTGAAATTATTTCTTTCTGTTTTCATGGTTTATTTTTCTGAAAGCTGTGCTTTTCGCTGTGTATTTAGTAATGTTTTCTGTTGGAAAAGTAATGAAAAAATAAGTGTAGAAAATAGAATTACTATTTGGTGGCACATAGAAAATAAAAAAGCGATCCTATCAAATAGACAGAACTCCTTCCTATTGCAAGTTTAACACCTTACCCTTGAGACAAAAAGTAATAAAATATATAAGGTGGGAAGTGATGATTTAAGCTTAATGTGAGGCTGTGAACCAGAAAAGACTAATAAGCCAGGAGAGGCCAGGGACTGTAGTGGAGCAGAAGAGCAGGAAGCCTGCAAGTCATTATTGACACCTTTAATTTGGTAGAAATCGTAGTTTCCCGTGTAACACCTCAGCATTTATCAAATGTCTAATATGTGCTGGACTCTGTGTTGGCGCTTTAGGGTGTGTGATTGTCACTCTCGCCTTTGAAGAGCTTGTGGTCTCATGTTAGCGAAAGTAAAGTACAAATGCAAGAATATGGTCCATTTGCCCAAGGTATAAATATAGGGGTTAGAAAAAGAAAAATGGAAGCGGTCACATTGAGGGTGTGTTGTAAAAGAGCTGAGGGAAAAGGCATGTTTAGTTTGGAGAATGGTTATTATTTCTATAAGAAAATTGCATGAGAAAGGGAATTCTAGATAGAGGACAGTACGGGCTAAGATGATGGCATATATGTACAGATGAACTGTAGAACATGCAGAGTAGTGTGTTACATGTCTCGATTCTAGAGGATCTTGAATACCAGGTTGAAGACTGGGAGGTTCTCTTTACTTGGAGAGTTGGTGAAGGTTTTTGGACGGAGGGTCACATTACAATCTTAGATTGTATTGTTGCTGAATCTTTTTCTGAGACAAGGTCTTGCATTCTAGATAGGCTGGGCTTGGACATGCACTCTTTCTGCCTCACTTTCCCAGAATGCTGGGATAACTGGCATGCCCTACCACACTTAGTATAGTTGAATTTTCACGTTAATTGGGAGGCATCTGTAGATTAAAACTGTGTTTATTGAAGTAATGGAAATAAGGGGGAATGAATGCAAGATAGTGAAAAAGAATAGATTTTGGAATATTTTAAAAGCAAATCGAGTTGGAACTCAACTGGACATTTTGCAGGTAAGTACATTAGTCTAAGATGTAAAAGCTACACACAAATCTGAACTCTGATCGGACCCTTCATTAGGGGGAGAGAATAGATTATAGGGAATTATGGGGAACTAAAGAAGTGGACTTTATAAGTATAAATGACTCTTTTGTAAATTTAGCCTGAGGAAATAATAGTATGATAGAAGGATGATTGTTTTTAGGGTAAGAGCACAGAACTTATTTGTAGGGAAAGTAGAAGGAAACAATATGTGGAGGGGAAAAAACAAGAAAGAAAGAAAACATATTTTAGATCCCCAGAAAGAGACAATGTGATTGTAATACTATCTGGAGTTTAAGCATTATTAAGGAAGCAGAACGTTTCTTATGGCAAAAGCAAAAGGTGAGAAGACTGGTAAAGAAAAAGATTTTGAGATAGAAAGCCACTCATATATAATTGCATACTTTTTTTCAGTAATAGATTATTTGCTAACATGTGAAAGGCTGAGGTTAAGGACTAAAAAATGGAAAAGATTAAAAACAGCTATTATGAATATAAGAGATCAGCAGGAGATGAAAAGAACTCGGCTTTTATAGCAATGCTGAGACCCCCTGTCTGCCATTTTTTTAGACAAACTCTTGCTGTGTAGTTCAGGCTGGCCTTGAACTCACTGTGTAGCCCTAGGCTGGCTTTGAATTTGAGGTGATCATCTTATTTCAGCCTCCTGAGAACTGGAATTTTAGGTGTGTGCCACCATGCCCAGCTGAAGGACCATTTTATTTACTAGGAATTTTTAAAGTGTGCTTCTATGATGTCCTTTACTATGCTCTGTAGTTCAGGCACGATCAAAAATGAAAAATTTTGGTGGTAATTTAGGATGAGTATGATAAAGAGGACACTTTAGAAGATGGATAGAATAATTTTAGATTAATTGGCTAAGTGTGGGGTCCAGGCTGGGTAGCAGGGCCTATGTGTGTGGGAGGCAAGTGCTCTGCCCCTGAGCTACACGCTCTGTCTCTCACCATTGTCTAATTCCCAAGGCTTGAAACTTTCATCACCTACAGTCTCTCCCTTCTGCCCTGATAACTCACACATGTTTTCCCTATTTCCTCTACTTCCCTCCTGTGTCACTAGCCGAAGTCACATCCTTATTACTTTCACATGGGCTATGGGGCCCTGCTGGCTGGTCTGGGACTTCAGCTCTTCTCTCTGTTTTGGCAGTGGCCAGATTAGTCTCCCTCGGGTTGTAGGTCTTGCAAGTGAGCTCTGAAATCTTCAATAACTCTGATTGAACTCTATATAAATCCTTTCTGTATGATTGAGGGTCCTTTCTGGTATGACACAAATATATTTTTCCACTGTTAGCCACTGCTTAGATTTTTTAGCCAAATTGGACTTCTTATTCTACTTTGAACGCACTGAGCATCTTCCTTTCCCATCTTTGTGGCTGGAATTCTGCACTGAAAAATGTGATTTAATTCATGGACTAAATACTTCTTGGAAATGATGACTTCTTGTTTGTGAGTTAAAATGATAACATTGAAAGGTAGTTGGGAGACTGAAAGAATGAGTTTGTTAAGTTGCTAAACATGGAAAAATACAATTTTGGGGCGATAATTTAGACTGCAGTCTGCAAGTTCTCTGCCTTTACTACTTTGTTTATAGAGTTTAATAATATGTCTTGATGTAGATAGGAATACTCAGTAAATATTACCTGTTTTTACTGGAAAAAAATTTCTCGTTAAAGATATCTAACATAGGAAACAAAGTTTATTTTAAAATTTGAAGTTTAATTATTGTTTCCTGGAAGTAGGGCATTAGAGGCATAAACAAGAGCCCCATGACCTTTCTTGATTTATGCTTTTTATAAAAAATTAATATTTTCATAATCATCGTAACTCATAAATTGAATCTGTACTGTTAATCACAATGCTAAGATTTTTCTAATTGTGAAAACTTTTATGAGGTGTATAGTATTCATCCAGTTTTTAGAAAAGGAAGTTAAGGTTTATGTAGGTTAAGTAACTTACTTGAGATCACACAGCTCAATTGTGGCAGACCCTGATTTTAACACAGGCCTATCTGACTCCACATTCTGAGTTTGTAATCATTATTTTGATGATGGCTGTTAACTTAGTAGCCAAGCATTTTATTTACTAAAAATTAATGGGGTCCAATTTCTTAGTTTTCGTTCTGTCAGAAATCCACAACCCAGTGTAAGTGTTTTCTGTGAATGGCCTGAAGAGGGCACCACTGTAACACTGCTTCTGTAATTGAGAAAGTTTGGATCTTTCTGCCTAATCCTGGGTATATTTTAAGGACAAAAAAAAAAAAAAAAAAGGCCTATTTAAAAAGTTGAGATAAAACAGCGATAAATTGATTTGGGCATTAGTATTTGTAGTTTCAAATAAGAGCTCTGTAGAATGTAAATTAGATAAGCCATATCTATTTTGTCTTGAACAGAATAAATAGATCTGGGTTTGGGTGAATTGAGGTGTAAAACACATAATGAATCAGGTACAGTCACAGGAAGAAAAACAGCGAGAGTCACTAGTTTATTATTGGTTTAGGTCATTTTTAAGACCTGTCTTTGTCTATAGCAACTGTGAATGTAAATAAAGAGAAATATTTTTGTGTTACAAAGTAATAAATTTTTCAAAACAAGTAATAATGAAAAGCTACTGTGTGCTTACTGTGTGTGCCAGGTATTGTTCTATTTGCTTTATTCTACTTGCCTCACTGAACCATGAAACTCTGGGATAAGTCCTGTGGTCCTTACTTCAGACAGGAGAGTAGAGGTGCAGGTTCAGTAGCTTCCTCAGAGCCATGTGAGTAGTCAGTGGCAGAGCCAGGGCTGGAGCCCAGGGTCCTGACCTGTAATCCCAGCCTCTGCGCCCTCCACCACCAGGTTTCCCAAGTTATTATGATTTTAGTGTTGCAGACGGTTTTCTCTTGCTCGGAAGAGGTTCCGGCATGTCTGTGGGCTGTGCCAGATCAGATCCACAGCATCTTCACACTTGCCATTAACTTGCTTACAGCTTCTGAAAAGTACGTAATTTCCAGTTTAGAACTATTTCTATTTATTAATAAATGGAATTGCAGTATCGAAGGAAAAAAATTGAAGATCAGATATAAAATCTAGAAATACTTTCTCTTGCTATAGGAAAATTTCACCTGGGTGTGGTGGTGCATGTCTATAATCCAGCACTCAGGAGGCTGAGGCAGAAGGATCAATGCAATTTCAAGGCTGTCCTGGGCTACATAGTGAGTTCAAGGCTGGAACTACATACTGAGACCCTATATTGAAAAACAAAAATTTCATTGTGTATGGACTGGGTATCAAGGTCATTTTGTCAATACAGTTTTTATTAAAATGGATATTAGGAATTTCCCCTAACTCTTACTAATTACTTGAAACCCACAGAGATAAATTAAAATGACTTGGAAGCTTGATAAGCATAGTAAATGATATTGTGAATTTATGTCCTTTCAGGGGCATTTCTGTAAAATGGCAGGAGGAGGTTCTGGAGGTCAGGCTATCTTAAGCCCAGATCAGGCTGTCTTAATTGTCCATTGGTCTCTGGTAACGGAGTTCCATCCTGAGACACCGCATCTCCTAGCAGAACCTCAGGGGTGATGGGAGCAGCCCGTGAAGAGCCAGACACTGTTATGCAGACCTGTAACAAGACCTGTTCAGCAGGGAAGTCTAAGGATTTAGGTGGACTTCCTCCAAGGAAGCAGGAATTTAGGTGTTATATCTGCTTACAGTGATTTCCTTGTCTGGTAAACATTGCACTCATCCATTGTTTGTGCATTCCAAGGTACTACCCTTAATCACTGCGAATACCTCTTTTTTCCTCTAGGAGTCTGGAGCACCTATTCTCACAGATGATGTTAGTTTGCAAGTATTTATGGATCACCTGAAGAAACTTGCTGTGTCAAGTGCTGCTTGACATGCTCAACATGTTCAGGACACTTAAGAAGATGAAATAATATCTCAATTTCAGTTTTTCTTTTTTCTATGTTTTTCTTTTGAGACAGGGTTTCATTATGTAGCTCAGACTGGCCTTGAACTTGCTGTGTAGCCCAGGCTGGCCTTGAATTTATGATCCCTCTGCCTCAGCCTCCTGAGTGCTGGGATTACAGGTGTGTACCACCATGCCCAGCTCCTTTTTCAGTGAGATTTCTCTAGACTTTTTTTTGGTATCAGTATGGTTTGAGATGACATATGCAAAAAAAGTTCACGTTATAGATTAAGCTGAAGTATAGTGAGAGCAATGAGAACAAATTTGTTTTGTCACAGTATTAAAACTGGTTTTAGAAATTTGAGGCCTATATAATTTATGTTTAAGAATAAGAACTGTCGCCAGGCGTGGTGGCGCACGCCTATAATCCCAGCACTTGGGAGGTTGAGGCAGGAGGATCACTGTGAGTTCCAGGTCAATCTCAACTACATAGTGAGACCCTGTCTCAAAAAAAACCAAAAAAAAAAAAAAGAACTGTCTGCCTTGTACTGCAGATATAACTTACTTGTTGTATATTGCAGACAAATCAAAAGTGGCACTGAATGTCCTCCTGACCTTTTAAAAGCCTATTTAATTTTAGCCAGAAAGGAACAAATCAATAGTAGTGATAAATGTGAACATTTTTGTTTATTTGTTGACTATTTTTCTATGATTTTTCAACACTTATGTATACCCTTGTTTTGTGCTTACTCTGTTAAAGGGGATTTATTTTTATGATTTGTTCAGAAATTATCTGACTTTATAATGGTAATTTTCATGAAGAGATAATATCATGTTTTTGTTTATTTGGAAAAATTGTTCAGAGATGAAGAAATATTTGGGGCAGGGCTGATAATCCCACAACAGATAGTAAATGTGAAATTCTTACTAAATATACAGTTTATGTGACTACAACACTTAAAAAAAAAAGATTGATAGAAAATAAAGTATTTTGTCACAGTACATAAAGCCTTTGCAGTAAAATGAATATTGTAACTACTAAACCAAAATTGTTTTTCACTACATTATTTTGATGTCTCCTCTTTTTCCAAGGTAAATTTTACATTATATCCTTCAGTATTTTAACACTATGCTGGGAGTGTAACACAATTACACCGCCCCCCTGCTTCCTGTTTATGAAATTTATTAAGTGTGGTTCTTATTGAAACAGTATTATGCAATGTTTGTTCAATTGTGTCATGTGGTGATATGCAGTTTTATTTTGATTTATTCATTGGTGTCATTCACTTTTACGTTTTAAGGTTTACTTGTAGCAAATATGTTTACATTGCTAAAGCCAGGTATGATCTGACAATGAAATTCACATATCAAGTGCTGAAAATGAAAGGTGGTGCTCTGATACATGATTAGAGAGACAGTTTTGATGATTGTACTCGAATGAACGCAATCACAGGATGGTAAAAGAGAAACTTGTAATTATTTATATTACATTCAATTAGCTTAACTTTGTTCCATCTTATTTGAATTGAACTGTGCTAGGCCAAAATGCCAATAAAATATGCTTTTCTCTGTTTTTCTGGCTATTTTTGAATTCTACTAAAGCTTGAGAAACCCCATGTAAAATTTAGAGCATTTAAACTTTTTTAGATTGACATATAATTGTACCTATGTACAGGGTTCAATGTGATAACTTGAGAAGTGAGTACAATATGTCATGATCAAATGGAGTAATTAGCATTTTCATAGCTTTAAACATTTTGTTTGTGTTGGCAGTCTTTGGGCTCCTGTCTTCTGGGTCTTTATAAAATATGCAGTTGTTGTAGCTATAGTCACCCTATAGTACTATATAGGACACGATGACTTATTCCCCTATCCAGCTGTTTAGTGCCTGTTATCTGACCTCCCTGTGTCCTTCCTAGTTTCTAGTGACCACAATTCTACTCTAATTCCTTGAAATCAGCTTTTTAAGCTTCCACATAAAAGTGAGAATATGTGGTCTTTTCATCTTTGCTTGGTTTATTTTACTTAAAGTGATGTCCTCCAGTTCCATCTATTGCTGCAAATGATACGATTTCATTTTTTTATGCACGGCATTCCATTAAATATATACACCCATAACACATAAAATTAGAGCATTTAAAATCTGCTATTAATTGGGGATTTAGCTCAGTGGTGCCCACCACCTGCCTCTCAAGCACAAGGGCCCGAGTTTGATCCCTGGTACCAAAAAAAAAAAAAAAAAAAAAAAAAATCTATTAGTAGTTTAAAAATGTTTCTTGAGATATAATTTACATATCATATTGTGGGAGACCGCGATATTGATTATGCCCAAAGCAGGCTGTCAGGAGTGTAGGTTGTGAAGAGTTAATCCCACACTCGGCTTGTGAGTCCGGCTGAAGCCTACATGCTGAGCTCAGAGTAACTCGCACCCAAATTCCATTCCCACAATTAAAATTTTAACTAGAAGGACATTGTTCTTGTTACAACCATATATTTTGTCTGTCCTGTTTCCAGTTCGGGAATGCTTGGTCTTGTCTCTTCCGAGCCTTGCTTCCATTAGTTTCCATGGAGACCACATGACTGTCTTCGCATGCATTCCCGCCCTTGCAGTAGCTTACCTTTACTGTAATTGATTAGCAGTAAAAATCAGTGCCCTAGACTGGCTGGTGAACCTGCACTTGTTGTCCTGGTGCCCTGCGTTCGTCTTACTTCTGTCTTTTAGTTTTTCTTTTCCTCAAGCCTGCATCACACACTGAGGGAGGAGCCTGGAGCCTACTGCAGAGGTTTCCAGTAACGTTTCAGGGGTCCCCAGTATAATACAATTAAGCCATTTGAAGTGTAAAATTCAGTAGTATGGAATATTTTTGTGGAGTTCTATAATAATTACCACAATTTTGGAGCTTTTTTATCACTCCCAACTATTACTTTTTTTCTGTAGGCCAAGTGTATTTTGGGATTTATATTTTGAATTGATGGAAGACCCAGTCTCACTTGTTTCTTCTGTTGAGTAGTAAGGTGGTTTTTATCCTGAAGCTGGCCTTTGCTCCTAAATCAGTTACAGCTGAAGGTGCTGAAGTGCTTCTGTGCTTTTTACCTCACCATTTAAAAGAAGTTACTCTGGATTATTTTTCTGTGTGATTTAGTTACCAGTAAATAACTAGCCATTTAGTAGACTGTTAAGAAATGTTTAACCTTTTGTCTTAGTCTCTTTGGGCTGCTATCACAAAATACTTTAGACTGGATAATTCATATTAACAACAGATTTACTTGTTGCAGTTTTAGGGGCTAAGAAGTCAAGACCCAGGTGGCAACAGAGTGGGTGCTGGTGAGGGCTCTCTGCTTCATAGATGACACCTTGGTGTATCCTCATGAAGCAGAAGGAAGGGGCAAGGAGTTTGCCATTTCCCTCAGGCCTCTTTTATAAGGCCACTAATCTCATTGATGAGGGCAGATCCCTTATCTCCTAATCACCTAAAAATTCCACTGTTTTTCTTTTCCCTTGCTTCCCTTTTCTCTTTTCTCCCTCCCTCTCCTTCTCCCTTACCCTCTCCTCTTCCTCTCTGTCTCTCCCCCCTCGGTCCTGCTCCTTTGACAGAGTCTCACTATATTGTCTAGGCTGAATTTGCATTCCTTCCCAGTCAGCCTTCCAAATGTTGGGGTTTATAGGCGTGTGCTGCCATACTAGCAAAACCTCATTTCTTTCTTTTTTTTTTTTGGTACTGGACCTCTAACTCGGGCCCTTGTGCTTGAGAGGCAGGTTCTGGAACCACTGAGCTAAATCTCCGACCCTACAACCTCATTTCTTAATACCACATTGGAGATTTAAGATTTAGCATATGAATTTTGAAGGGATCTAAACATTCAGACCATAGCATTTATTAAAGGATTAGGGTGCATAAAAATATCTTCCAAATTAAGAGTTTAATATACCATATTACAGTTTTACTTGCATATTCATGTATATAGGAGCACAATTCATAAAAGCTGAATGCTGATAGTAGTTTATATGTCCATCAACAGATGGATGGATAAAGCATATGTGGTATTTATGCACTATGGAGTAGTACCCTATAAAGAAAAGTAAACTTGAGTCGTGTGTAGAAAAATGGATGCACCTTGAGACCATAATGTTAAGTGAAATAATCTGACTCACAGGCTTAAGTATTGCATTGTTTTTCTTATATGAAAAACCCAATTATAAATAAAGAGCAAAATGAAAGAAAATAGAAAATGGGGAGATAGATCTCAAATGGGAAGGGGATAAAGAGATGGAGGGTGCGGTGAGGGAGGAAAGGGAAAGTGGATGAAAAACCAGGCCACACAGTGAAGGTAGAACAGCAGGAAGATGGAGAACAACAGAGCAGGGATTCATCAGAAAGGTAGGTCTTAGTCACTAAAGATGTTGAGGAAAGACTGACAGATTCTCTGGCTTCTGGTCTGAACTGGACCACTAAACTTTCATTAGATGCATTCTCTGAGTTAGGGGTTATGATCAGGAAGTTGATGAAGCAGAGAAGCAGAGAACTAGACAGGAAAATGTCAGCTCAGTCTTGGAATCAGCCAATAAGTAATATTTTTATCATATTCCATGGAAGTAACAGTATAGACAGATGAAGTTTAAGGTCATACTTGGAGACAAGGCCAATAAAGTGGTAGGTTCGAGAATGAATTCCAAAATAGTTTTGGGTAATAGTTTCTTTGTCTTTGGACTTAATGTGCTCTTACTTCTTTTGAGCCTGTTGTTTAAATACTAGTAGATATCTGCTACCACAGGTATTGACACAAATTGCACTCCAGACAGATATTGCTGACTTAACTTTCTAAATGTAAGGGTGTCCATGCATTTTGAGATCAGATTGTATAACTAGAAGTTCTCTGAATTAAATTCTATGCAGAACTCAAAGTTTATTAAAGGATAGGTTGAAAAATGTAGTATCACAAGGTTATACATGCATTATTAAAACTCAGTAGTAGCCGTAGTAATTGTATAGATCTTTGAACAGTGAAAGTTGTTTTTTTTTGTTGTTGTTGTAATACCTTTTTTAGTTTTTGTTTTTGGCATCGGGGATCCAACTCAGAA